CTTCCCAAAACTCACCACTGTTGAAGACTCATGAGTAGTCTACGACCGGCTCTGCCTTTTTTCTGGTTCATCAGGTAGGCATAATCCTCAGATTCGCGGTAACCTCATATTCTACCTGAACATTAGCTTGTACGCAGCTAGCGAAATAGATAGATAGCAAATAAGAAGCGCTAAACTGGTCGTATATTGTTGGAGCATTTTCATCAAGCGGATGAGTAGTACGGTCCGTCAAGATAAAGCTGCACGCGTCTCTTAACTAGTAAAAAATTGCCCTGCCACCCACATTGATCCTACCGACTGTAATTCAGCACAAATAAGCATTCCATTCGAACGCATCAAGTCCTTTAGTTGGACCATTGAAACCGTTCAGCTGCAGCACCCTTTCGGTGCCTAGCTGCCATGCCACCCGAAGGAAGCACCAGGGCTGGGATCCTGTCAGGTCGCCATAGCCTAGACAGGGGAAGTCGAGAGGCAGAGGTCGGGATCGAACCGCGGACCTTCCGGTCAGTAAATTGGCGCTCTACCCACTTGGGCCATCTCGCCCCATTACTTCAGTATGTCACGTGTAAAAACGTATTTCCTGGGTAGACGTCAGCTCAGCATAAAGATGTGTTCAGATTTCAGAACGCACAGCCACAAGGTGTTCTTCGCCTCTCATGAATCTCTCCTGGCGCATGGAGGAGTCGGACACGTGAACCCCTAATAATGACTGATAAGGTATAAACTTTGACACTACTTACCAGTAGTTGGATGAGCCTCCCTGATCAGTAGTATCGCCGTTACACCAGTAACTGGATGGTTGTCCGATTTGGTCGACAGGAGATTGGACTCAGCATCACAGCTAGAACTTGATTCATTGACCTGGATGGACGTGTATTAAACGACGGATCGTGGGGATGGCTAGCGCCGTTCTACTCCGAACACTCAGGGTAGCGGACAAATAGGGTTCACTGTGCAACTGTCGCTAAAGGGAGCTTTTGCAGATAACAGTCACTTATTTGTTGATAGTCAGAGAACAAAATTATTTGTCTCTGTGCTAAATGTTTTATGATTTTCGTGTGCTTGTGGGACAGAATCGACCTATAACCAATAAATGACAATCTCACTGTGATCGACGATGGGGAATTCTTTGGGTTAGCCTGATGAAAGCAAACCATTTTAACATGCTTCGCAGCACTGATGTCGATAGCGATGAAACATACGGACGTTTACTGAGATCTAGCAGTTTTAGTTTGACTTCTGGAAGAATCTGGTTGAATTAGATTGTGGACTGGTTCTAGAATTTATGTAGCTGTTGTGTCAAAATGAATTATCCAGCTAAAGTAGGTACAGAGGTTGAAGCATGATGAAGGCTTTTTTGTGAGTGAAAATGTATCTTCTCTAAAAACTGTCCCCAAAAAGCAAACTTTTCCTCTGTCAATCTGGAAGCAAGGCCCGCATAGAATGCGATCTTACGTGGTGTCAAGTCCACGAGTTTAGCAGCATAATACTTGGCCGGTAGATTTCCGTCGCTTATATTTCTGCATGCGAAGCGGACAACAGTTGGAACCGAACAAGTCTTCTGGCCTGGTGTACCATTCTGTTGAACACGATCGATAAGTTTGGAAAGTTACTCCGTCATTTCATTTCAGAATATAAGCCCAAATATAGTGATACACTGCATGACGCTACTTTTATTATCATCAGCAGGGGTCAACCCCAAACAAACGTCCACGATGATAGAAGAAAAAATGATCAAAATTTGGCATTCTTGCATATGCCCATCACTGGATTTTTGAACGGACAACTAAAGACCGATGTTTACAGGATGGAGACACTGACCAACTGGCTACCCAAGGCAGCGCAAAGGGAGCTTTATTCGTCCATTATTAAAGCGAACTGGATAGCAGCTAGATGCCATGCGATCCCAAGTAACGGAACAACGTTCTTAATATAAAATTCTTCCGAAGAAGCAGTTAATCGAGGACTTGTACTTTGGTTGTCCATGAGAAAACGCTACTCGACCATACTCAACAACGTGAGGTGAATGCAATTGGACTGCAACCCACGGCACCAAGAGTATTGTTGCATTGTGTCAGGGCGCGCCCATACAGAAGAAAAAGTACATGTGCAGAGAGTGACGCATCCCCAAGGTCACCATCGGCACGACGCGTCCGTAAAGTAGGTGAGTTGACGGCGCCCACGAAACACGGCTCGCACCAAACACGGCCTAGCAACACACGACCAGCGTAGTGGGCCCGAGAATGTTCACGACCGGAACACCACCATTGGCTGTACGGAGCGAACAAGCGAACGAGCATATTTGGACAATTAGTCGTCCCATATATATTTACGCAGACGCTCCGTATGTTTTGTCCTGGCAATACAGCCGTGTCCCCAATACTCTGTCTTCTCCCTATCACGTAGTCTGGCAGGCTCAGTGCAGGCGTAAGCAAATAGCTCGGCCACCGCACAACAGAACACATTGGCTGCGGAAAAGTTACGAAAGAAAGCCACGGACAAACTTCAGACAGTACTGTCGACGTCAGAAACAATGAAGAAGGCCTAATTTAATCGCGAAATCCAGAGCAAGGGCTGCGACAAACGCAACGTCAGACAAACAAGCATAAAATGTCGACATCCAACTCCCACCCAGAAGCATTACCAATCCTCACTCTTCTCGCATGATCAGGTACAGCGTGAATTCCACTGAATAAAAAGCACAATATAGGAGCCTGAAACTTCCAAGATTTTTATTGACGTGTGGTCCCGAAGCTTCCGTAAGGCCAGCTGATCAAACAACCAACAAACGCACTCGAGCCAACGAGCTTTCGATAAACTGGTTAAGCTCTGCCACAAAATCGTGGGTTTGAAGAATTTCGTTCCTCACCTCCTCATTCTCCAGTGCTGTGGAATTTCCTGGCGCAGACGCAGTATTGATTAGCCACTCGGTTGGAATTCAAGTTTCGAGCCCCGGTATGATTCAGACGATGCTCCATTAACGTAACAACTCTGGTTCAGTACCTTCCTTTACTGTTTTAAACTGATCAGAACATAAGAAAACTGTTCAAATGTGGGCGGTTTGCAAAACTATCTGTTTTAAATGCGATAAGGTGAAATATCAGAACACAGGCCTTTACTTACAGTGAATCCTTGATAGACACTGCCATTTTCGCAAATAACCTAGGCCGCTGAATGTAACCAATTTCGTCCTCTCTATAAGGACACAGCCAACCATAATAGGAGATGTCTACTTGCCCGCGAATACAGACTTTCTGCTGAAGATAACAGACAAGCAGATACCAGAATGAGATTGGAGTTTTGTTAGATGTGCACCACCCACAATTCCCGCTAAGGATGAAACAGATGTACAGTGCACCTTGGCATTTCAGTATAGACTTGTTTTACTAACATGAAGAAATCTACGTTGAAGGTTCCCAAACCTCCTGACACTAGCAACAAAATCATCACTTGCTGGAAATGAGATTCGATAGAGGGTGTAACGCCCAGGAAAATGCTCCCGTTTTGAAGTTAGTCTATTATCTTCCGATGGGCGAGTACAGTTCACTAGTGAGATTCAAGTGTCACACAGAGAGCAGCGATCAAGGTAATGCTATTCGAAGCTGAAGGTGAGAGCTGCGTGGAAAGTGTCAGCACAACCGTGATCCAATCAACTAGTTCCAGCTTCCCCCGTAATGCATGCTCTTTGTTTTCCGGTTATCTCATCATCATCATCGACAGCATGACATCAGTTTTCAACACCGACGCTTCACTGCCGTACAACCATCACTTATTTGAAAGCCTTATTGTAAAGAAACGAGTAAAGGTGGACGGGGGAGGGACTTAGTGCTAGCTTACCACAATCATTCCGAGGTGCCTACACCTCCAGACATTCACTCAGGCAATCTGGATAGAAACTGACAAC